GGGGAGAGGAGAGAGTGTCTGAGGTCTGAATTAAGGTGAAGTGTTTTGTTGGGGTTTTTTTCTAGGACTGTGTAAGTGTGTGTATGTGCATACGCGTAAATATGCTATCTGCTGTACTGTTTTTGGTAAACATATTAAGTCTGCTCAATAAAGGGCTGTCCATCATCCAAAAAAAGTCTTAACATTGAAACACTAAGTTAGGATTTTGATATAAATGTGTATACAATTGTAAAGAGAGAAACTTCATGTAAATCATATCAATGATCAAAAGAATCTAATCATCCTGAAACTTGATGAAGGTGTGTAACTTCTTATTGGCAACCCAGTTTGCAGTTTTACCCGCTGATGAGTAGTTCTTGTTAAGTTACAGAGTGCATTAATACACTCACCTCAGAATTCAAAACAGCTGCCTTCTTAGCACACTTTTAAACAGCCCGGATATAGTCTTTTCCATCTTCCTCAAACCACCTCTTCCACTCTTTATCCACTCCTCTGTCTTCAGTTGCTCCTGCCTTCTCCTCTCCTCTCTGTTTTTCTTAACGCTCCTTTTTTATCTTTTATTTTCTCCTCATCCTCCCTCTACCTCCATAGCACCTCTTTTCTTCTTTAACTCCTCCTGCAGCTCATTTGTTCTTACATTCAGCTTGGAGAGCTGAAGTCAGACAGGAGAAGAAAAGAAAAAAAGAAATGTGCAGGCAGTCACATCCCTGCAATCTGTGGAACAAATGAGGTACCAGTCACATAATCTAAAAAAACTAATCTGAAACATCAAGAGACCCATCGCAAGACAACATCCTGCAAGGCAGTAAAAGAAAAAGTGGGTCATGCAAAAAAGATGGCTAAATTGACTGGCACTAAGTGAGCGAATGTATGTTTTATTACACCACACATTAATAGCTGTTGCATGTGCAATATGCGTGGCACGTGCATGTGTATGTGTGCAAACAGCAGTCCCGAATAGTACACGTGTAAGCCTTTGCACACCTGAGCAAGCGTGTCAGCCCCCTCCTGTTGCAGGAGCTGAATGTTAGCTTGCAGTTTGGTGATGCAGATGTCTTTCTCAGCAATCTCCTTCATGTTGTCTTCGTGGATCCGCCGCAGACAACACAGCTCGCTCTGCAGGTGCACCAGCCTCTCACCGCTTTCCAGCACCTGCGTCGCAGTCTTCGCCAGAAAGGAATTAAAATTTGATTTTTTTTCCCCCCCCCAAAAGAGACAAAGGTTTATTTTCATTGAGAATTATTCACTGGCTAATACTCCTCATACAATTTTTCCAAATTGCTTTTGATTACTTTTTCATAAATGTCTCGCAATAATCTGAAATGAATTGGAATGAATAAAATTACATTTTTATATCAGTTCTTAATGTCTCATTTTAAAATAGAAGTCCATGTAATTACAACTGTAAGAGCCCGAGCGATAATTGCCTGGGCTGTGTAAGACAAATTCATAGTTAGAAGTTCACATATTGCAGATTAAAATACAACGTATACTGTAAATATATATCATTTATAGTTTTATGAGGATACACTTAATTTGGCCACGTGTTCTAGAAAGCTGTTCATTTGATAGTGTCGTCGTGCTAACAAACAGTGTTATGGCGCTCACATGTACCAAGGCTCCATGTGTGTTTGTGTGTCCTGTAGATCTGTTTGCGCATCTGCATTGCAGAAGCACCAGCTAAACAGAAACACAAGTGGAATAGAAAATATATAGCCATTTGTTGAAAATGTGATTAACAGAACAAGCTCCAGTTACTCTACTTGTTTCTCTACGGATCTGTCTGTAATCACACAAACCACTAATTAGCGGCAGTGCAAATGAGTCAACTCACAAGCAGCATAAACAAACAGTAACCAGCCAACACACACATAAACAACCAACAAGCCTGGGTTTACCACAAGCACAAATGCATGTGTGTATTTCTGCAAGCCTGTGTGTGTTTACGTGTGCCTTAACCATAAGCCACAGAAGACAGTAAAACAGCAGTGGGTATAATTTAGTGACACCCTGTAAGGAGGTGTGGGAAGGTTGTAAAAATCTCTCCCTTTTAATCCCGAACGGCGATGCCATGTTTGTTACCCAGGGCTCTGAGATATGCTGGTAATTCATCACACACGCCATGGCTTCCTGTTAAACCTGACTGCACATGGAGCGCTTGTAGCACAGCTGCCAAACCAATATCGTAAAAAAAAATTAAAAAAAGACTCCTCCACCTTTTAAACAGCCTTCTGAACAAATGCTGCAAAAAAAAAGAAACAATTTCTTAGCAAGTCATTTAATTGTTTCAACCTTACAATTGCTATGAGAAAAAAAAAGAGATTTGTTTACATTGTCTTGCTTCTTTTGGGGAACTATCTTGAGTCCAGACAATTACGTGCAAACGACAGAATGTCTTGTTTGCATTTTTGTGGCGTGATCCCGGTAGCTCATTCTTTGGAATGTGCTAAAATCAAGTCAAGTCAAGTCGGTTACCTTTTGCCTTCCTTGTATATTCTCTGCGAGCTCCCTCTCCAGATCCGAGATGATCATGTCCTTGGTTTGCAGCTGGATTTTCACATCTTCCGTCTCAGACGTCATCTGGTCCACGGAATCACTGCTATAGCGGAAAGGCATAAGGAAGAGGAAGGAAATCGTGAACTACTGAACAAGCAGATAGATGTAAAACATAGAAGGAAAATATCTCTTTTCAGGTTTATAGTGAGTACAGAGTGCATTATTAAGTGATGTGAATTACAGAGATGAAAGCCACAGCATATGGCAGTGTATATAATTGTTTCCATCACAATGTATAAGCTTTGATCCTTAATCAAATTGTTTTAACAACTGATGCAGGATAAAACAGGAATGTGTAAGCAACATGCAGCACATGTATAAGGTGTAAAATTCAAAAACATCTCATTCAAAAGCAGCAAAGAGATGCTGAGCCTGTTGAAATTTGTGCTAGATGACAGCAACCAGAGCTGATATGTGTTTCTCTCCGTCAGTGTGTGTGTGTGTGTGTGTGTGTGCGCACGCGTGTGCATGCGTGTGTATGAGTCTGTGTGTCTCCCAGCGGTGAAAATACGTTAACTCTGCCCAGACACCTTTCTGAGTCACCAGTGACAGCTGTCACACACCCAAGATGGAAAGAGAGAGAAAAAAAACCCAGATCATACGGCACTGTGTGGTACTGTTCACAAACACACGGGCACGTACAAAGACACACGCAGGCACACGCACGCACACACAGTTTCATATTTACCAGCCTCATGAGATGAGATATTCTGATGAAACTTTGCACAGATTAAAAATGTTAAACTCACATTTGATCAAGCGCGTCTACACTTTCACACCAAGTGGAGAAGGAAAGGCAAGATTTGACAAAAGTGACATGTGAGTGGATAGAGAGCGCTGAGAGTTAAATCTTTCACTTTGGCAAAAAAAAAAAAAAAAACAGAAAAAAAACTTTTCAGTCAAATGGAGTAAAAGCCACAGAGGAAACAGTGAAAGCTGACTTTAGATTATAGTCTGGTTCTGCCTCGATAGGAGAATGGGAACGTGTATGTTCTGCTGTTATTAATCCACTTGATGTCTTTTTATTTAATCGTAAGTAGAGTTTTCCTCTGTTGTAAATAATCACCGAGCTAAGGTGATAATTTACAACACACAACCCGTGATATAGAAGCCTAAGTAACACATAGGTATGTGTAGAAGGATGGTTTTTGGCCCAAAACATGTCATTTAAGACCAAAAGGAAAAGAAATGCTAACATTTATTATAAGATGACTTCTTTAGGTCCTTTTAGTCAGAGGTGCAAAACTTTGGTGTAAAAACAAGCTAATTTAAAACCTATTTTCCTATAGAAGGAAGACACTTGGAAAATGGATGTGAGTGCGTGCAAGCATATGCTCGCTGCAAAAACAAAGATTTTTTTTAAAACCACACTGTTCTTATCTTGTCCAAGAACTCATGAACACACAACTAATGCAGAGTCAAAGGATTAAAAAAAACAAAAATAATAAAATAACTATAATTTGTGTTACTTAACGACACATAAGCCTCTATTTTCTGCACCATTAATGGATGGAACTGAATTTATTAAGGAGAGGAGGATCCTTCATTTCCAACAGTTTTGCTTCTTTTGGGAAAATCAAAATGAAAACACGCAGCAAATCCTGATCTGCAACAAGTCAACATGCAAATTTATTCATGCCATTCAAGTGCGTACGTATCTGCGTGCGTGTGTGCATAATATTGCAGGTCATTATTATGCATGCAACAAATAAGGCTGCACGGCTTGTTATATTGCAATATACAATAAGTACTTGTGGTAAACAAATGACACAATGTCACACCACCAGAGGAACAGAGAATTCCTATTAAAAGCATTAAGTGTTGTTATGATTACTGTGTGGACAGAGAGAGCAGGTTGAGTGAATGTGACTGAATTGTGCGTGTGTGCGTGTGTGTGCGTGTGTGTGTGTGTGTGTGTGTATTACTGTGACTGTATGTGATATTAAAGCAGGCTCTCGATTTCTCAACCTGTCATTCAGCCCTATTAAGCAAGGCTAACAAAATTAGTCATGAATATGCAGTAATAACAAATGCAAATTGCCACCACTCCCCCCCAACACGCTGTGCATGTGGGTGTGTGAGCGTGTATACATATGTGTTTGCCCCCAGGGCTATAGACATTGGCTCTGTAAACCCAATTCTTTCTACATCATTACAGCAACAAGGCATAATTCATAAGAATAATCAGAACATCTATGTAACCTGGCACGCAAAAAAAGGACACAAGTCCTCCTTGAGACTCTCTTCACACGATGGGGTTCACATATAGTACAGCGGGTTCGCTTTAACCTTTTTATGTTGTGGGGGGAAAAAAGGCTGGGAGTTTCCCGCTCCGCATTTTATGCTTGAGACACAAGCGCGCACGTGTCGGTGCATGTACACACACCAACATGTAGATAGTCTGTTGCCTCCGTGTCCCCAGGGTGGTGTTTGACACAGCCTGGGCGCTGCCACAGCAATTAACCTCCCCCGTTAATGAGAGGAGTTCTGTCAAGCAGCCAGATGGCACTGCCTGGCACGCTGCCATGCAAAGACACATATGCTCATATGCCCACACAGCTTCATTCACACACACACACACACATACACACCCAGAGACATGCACATATAGACATTTAGGAACATGCACACGCAATGCAATCATGCCCCCCACCGCCCCACCCCACTGTACATCTAACTGTTGCTGCTTGTCAGCATCCCTCACCCCTTCCCCACCCCCCCCTTCTTCACCCATCTCCTGCATTGTCTTCTCTCCATCATTCCTCCCTAGCTCCATCTCTGGCAGCTGCTTATCCATGTCGCAGCGCTGCAGATGTCACAACTCATCAGCTGGGAGAACAGCAGGGGAGGAGAAGAGAGAAGATTTTTTAGAGGAGAGGAGGAGTTTTCTTGCATCTCAGTATTTGACAGAAAAGCAACCAACTGGATGAAGTTTTATATATTCGCCCACGACTGACTAATCAATGTGCTCGTTTCGTGACTTTTGTTAATGTCGGCGACTTTTTCATACATGTAGAAATGTTAGCCGTGGCTTTAATAATCAGCCGTATCGTTAAGAGGTGCGTGTGCTTATATTTGGAAATGGGTAGATACGAGCGCTGCGCGTGTTCTGCTTTGTGTGTTTGTTTGTTAATTAGCGTGGCACTTGGCCGCGGCACGGCCCGCTGTGTGTGCATGTCTGCATGTCCGTACAGCAGCCCACCAGGCCTTCGTATTGATCAGTTAGCTTGGCCTAATAGGAGAAGAGGAGCCTGACCTGGGAAAGTCAATATGGAGAAAAAGAGACATATCCTCCTCCCGTCCTGAGAGAGAAGTGGGAGAGAGAGAGAACGCAAGAGAAGAGATAGATACAGAGGTAGAGAGTCTACTGTACACTGTCAGTGCTGAAGAAAATGGTGAAGAGTGTGTAGCTTTTTGGAAAACCAGCTGGACAACAGAAAAACAACCAGCGCCAGTAGAAAATAATAATATAACAATGATGAACCCACCCCCCTAGTCTCTTGAAGCACATGTATCTCATCACTCTGTTAACAGAGAAAAGTTTGAGTTTTGAATTAGAACAGTCTCACTGAGGGATACCGCCTAAGTTTCACATAAGTGAAGTTCCTACCTTTCCCAAATGAGAATCAGGATATTCTGTCAGAGCTTTTTTCCTCTCTCTTTCCTAACTAACTTTCAGCATTTGACTGCTTTTGGCAAAGGAAAACAGCACTCAAGTTAACTTCTGTGTAAGAAAAAACTGCTGGAGATTATACTAAGGGGAAATAATTTAAAAAATAATTGGGATAAAAACTGACACTCACTCACACATTAATACACCGATAGATCAATGTGTGTGGGGGTTTATGGGTGTGTGTGTGTGTGTGTGTGGGTGGGTATGTGTGTCGGGGGTGTCTGTGTGTGTGTTATGTACACCATTTCAACTGAAATATATAAATAAATTTGTAGATAAACAAAAAAAACAGAGAAAACGGAAAAGTAGATAAAAGACTTAGGTTTCACCACGCACACGCATACATACACAAACACACACACACACCTGGCTGAGTGATGCTACCCTGGAGGGTGGCTTCAATCTGATGCGTTTAATGTTGACGCTGGTGGCAAGAAACACACACACTCACCCGCTGTTTCAACCTGCCTGTCATTTCATTTCAGGAGACCTGATTTACTCATTTCATTTATTTAATTTTTTTTATTATTATTATATGTGCAGCCATTTAAAACGCTCAAGGTGTGATGCAAAGCCCCACATCTCTGACAGCAAGTACGCTGACTGAGGATCCATCACACCCTTCAGTGCCTTTTACAGGAATGGCATAGAAACCCCGTATAGCCACAAACTCGGCTGTGCCACATTGTGCCAGACCATTGATTCCTGCTTAGCTGGGTGCTTTAATTGGCTGCGCTGCAGGCTGTCAAACCACCGACTGTCACTTTTGACCATTTTTGGATGTGTTTTTTTAGCTATTATATGACAGCTTGTGAAAAATAAATATCAACTGCAATAATACCCATGTGTTTGGAAATTAACTGTTTTTCTTTTAGGTCAGTAAATATTATAATGTCACCTTTGATGACAAAGGCATTACTTGTCAGCAGGGGTTGTACTGGAGTTTGAGATGAGGAGGAGCTCTTGTGTAGTGAGGTCAGGAACACATGATCTACTGCAGGCAGTAGAAACGGGGACAATGTCTTTAGTTAAAATTTGGGCAGATTATTCACTTTGTTTTTGTAATTTCAATAACATAATCAATACATTTCAATAACTCTACAGCATACATCATTGCTTTTTAAAATCAGACCACTTCCTGCAATAATCACTTGATACACCATGAAAACATATTGGCATTCTCTAGATGAAACTAACCTATATTTTGACTCTTCTGCTGCGGATAAAAATGCTGACTTCATTCTAAGCATAAGTGCTCTGTTGCCAAAGGGTAACTATGAATTTGTGCACAGCAGCTCAGCTGCTTGCTTGGAGAAAAGCATTTGGGTTAATACCTAAGATCACAATGGCATGTCAGAAGATATAAATAATTGATGAAATTACTGCTGCTGCTGTGCCACCTGCGTAACTTGCAGACGGCCAATCTCTTAGTGTCGGGACATCGAGAGATTGAGTTGTATTGTAGCATCAAACAGCTGTGTGATGCTACAGCAGCTGTTTTATAAAGGCAAAGGATAAAACAATGATATGTACAGCACGAGACAAGGTGTAATTTGAATGAGTTTTTATTTGGATGGTTGTTTACATTGTATCCAAATGCTTCTCAATTGATTTTCCTATCAAACTTCTTACTGGTCAAGTGAGTCGATGTGCATAGCTGGCAATGAAAAAGTGTGAACTAGATAAATATGTATGAGCACAAAGATTCAAAAATGCTACTTTCATTAGTTTTGTCAGAATGTAAAAATAAAAATCTGTCTCTCTGGGAAGATCTAACGTAAAAACAGAACACGTCTTTAGGGGCTTTGGAGCATTGCATGGTGGGAAATATCATATAGGGATTTGCATATTGCCATGGGGACAGTGGTGTTGCAGTGACTCCCTAAAGAGTTCAAGCTCCCTCAGGATAGACACAGTCCCTGAGGCCAGCTCTGCTACCTTTCTCAACAGTGGGGTACCTGTGCATGTGTGTGAGTGAGTTTGTGTGGTCGAATCATGAAATTAATCATTATTTCAGTCAAAAGTAAACTTCTCCGAAGAAAAAAACTGCCTAGCTGATGAGAAGCGAAGGTAATACAAACCTGCGTGGGATGTGAGCCACAGGTCCAGTGACCTCATCCAGCAACAAAGGCTTCAACCCAGCCTCAGACACCTAGGATACACAGAAAATGACATCCTGATTATTTATTTCTGTTTAGTGTATTTGTAGTAACTGCAGCATTATAATGCAGTACCGTACACCTTGAAATGAATTTTAATGCTAAAGTAGTACACCCAAGAAATAATACGTTCTCTCTGAACTCTAACATATCCAAATAGTTCAATATTCACTTCAGTACAACCTAAATTTCTGTTTATTAGATATACACTGCTAAATAAAGGAAAATAGTTTTGTAGAAATTGATTTTCTCGGGTGTAAACCGTGATGAAGTCCGACAGCGCCCAGGGGTAAAGGTGTGAAGTGTGTCACCCCTGACTAATTGCTAAGAATTTGCATCTTGTTGACCGCAGCAGCATGATAATATTATCATGAGGAAAGAAGACATTAATATACAGCAACTGCATAAATAAAATTGAAGGAAAACAATCATTCCTCATTTTCAAACCCAGAATCCAAGATTAAAATAGAGATAGAACTGATTTAATAATTCGACTTCCCTCCTGAGAGATTTTTTTTTTTAAAAGAACATCTTTAAAGCAATACAGTAGTGTGGGAAGTCAAGTGCATTGAAAGGAGGACAGAGAAAGCAAGACAGAGCATATGCAGACAAAAGCTTATGCACAAACACAGACAGACACACAATTCTCAGATATAGTTTCAATTCAAAATACCCCTTGCCATTATCCTGTCTGCATGTCTCTTTTTTTCAAATGAAAAGTTGTAAGGACGAGTGAAAAATGTGTCAGCACAGTTATTGTGAGGTCAATTCACACTGTGCAAAAAAGAGAACAGCATAGAAGGGGGGCAAAGGAATTAACTGAGTTCAAAAGAAAAGTAAATAGTTCTGATTGTCCAGCGTTTTTTATTAGGCCAGACTATTAAAAAGAGGGAAGAAATAGACAGGACAGGGCCAAATTAACAAGGGCAATAAGCAATAGCTGAAAAGAGCAAAGAAAAAGACTGCCAGAGAAGGAGAGAGCGGCAGGAGGCTCCACGGAAACAGAGAGGCCCGGCACCACTGGTAAAATATCGGCCACTCTATCGCCGTGGTGACAGGGGTCACTCCGGGAAAAGGAAATCAATGCTGACAGCAATGACTCACAGGTCAACACATATCCCCCATGTGTGAGTTAATGTGTGTCTGTTCGTTTGCTTTTGGCCATGAGTGTGTGCGTGCATGTGTGTTTTTCAATTATGCATATGTTAAGTGTGTTTATGTGTATAACCATGCGTTTGTGTGCATGCGAGATAAGATATGGAGCAGTAGAGCACATATGGAGTGCATAAAATATCAAGTTAAACCATCTAAAAAAAGGATCTGAAGCATGTGTAAAGATAAGATTCAGTTCATTTAATGTGTAGTATTTAAGGCCTAATGGTAAAAGACAATTATACAGGTCGCCTTTGCTGTTTTAAAGGAGACTAATCATTAAATAACACACAGAGTCTGGATCTTCCTCATTTTTGCCACCACTTTACTATGAACTTGAAGAAAACTTTAAATTAAGGACATTGATTGGTGAATGATGATTACAGAAAAGGTGTTCACTCACATATTAGTGCAATTTAACCTGCTGGCAGTATTTATGTATGGGGACTCCTCCTGTGTGATGGCACGTTTGAATATTATGTTGTATAATACCAGCATAGCATTACTGGTCTATAAGAAAGTAATATAAAAAGCCAAGCTGTCCGTCCTCTAAGTAATCAATCTGTTTACCAAACCACATCTATAAAAATATACATTTAAACACACACACACACACACACAAAAGCCACACACGATCATAAAATATTCATATTCTAATGCACCTGCAATGTGACAATGAGAGGACCTGGAAAACGTAGAGGTCAGCGGCTAATATAGGTAGGCTATGTGTGTTTAGGAGTGTGTGCGACTGTGCGTGCAGGCCTTATATATACCCTTGGGTTAGCAGGAGTTACGACCTGCTTACATTATTAAGGTGAGTAGTAGGCTGTGTTATGTATGCCTAAAAAGCCAGTCGATTCATTACTGATGCAATCCCCTAAGTACATGAATAAGCGTGCGGCTTTCTCCTTTTCTCTGCCTCTCTGAACTGTAAAGGAGACAAAATATTGGTGCGATGCAGGGGGCTTTAGATAAATCAGAAACAGGAGGAAATTAATAATAAGAAATAAAACAACATTAGCTGATTAAGTATGTATGGCAGAGTGACGGCTGAAATTTACAGGCAGCTGGGCTGGGTGTCCGGAATAAGGTCTCATTACAGATCACGGTGTGTGTGTGTGTGTGTGTGTGTGTGTGTGTGTGTGTGTGTGTGTGTGTGTGTGTGTGTGTGTCCATCGTTAGTAATCCGTCACCTGTGGTCTCAGCTTTATGAAAAGGCCTGCAATCTATGATAATGAGCCCTGTGAAGGTTATGACCACAGTAAACTCATTTGTTAGCAGTAGGTATATATGTGTGTGTCTGTCTGGCTGGCTGGCTGTTTTATGTATAATATAGCAATGTCATAAAGGAGTGGCGAGGAAAAATACTTTTAAAGTATTGGTGAAAATCATCAGAGACGGGGAGTGAGAGAAAAAGAGGCAAGCAGGAAAGAAAAAGAGAGCACATTACACAGATGTTGCATCACATCAATTAGCTTCCTTGGCCAGTTATTAAAAACACAGAGAGGACTTATACAATATATTCTTCTGCACGATGTCCTCGGCATAACAAGCAAAACTAACTTCAAATGTTGTGTCACAATTTCTTATTAGGAAGGCAAACGTCCTATCATCACTACAGGTCCTTTCCTTGTTATGCACAGGGAAAAATTGTATTAGATACGATGTAAAGAGATTGCACTTGTAGTTGCAGTATGGCTGGTAAGTACCAAAAATGGTCAACAGTAGGACTTCTACTGTAAGAAATACAAGGAAAGCGCAAAATAGCAACAGTCATTCCCAGACTGATTTCCTTCTTCTCCACTGTCACTCTTCCTCTTTTTGCCTCAATTTTCCTTCATTTCTTTTTCTTTGTTTTCAGCCTCAAACCTCATCACAGTCTCAAACCTCATCACAGTCTCTTGTCCCCTCCTGTCTCAATCATTTGCCCCTAACATACTCCCCCCCTCCCCCAACACACACACACTTCCCCTTTCTTGTTTCCTTTTCTGTCTGAAAATAGTCATCAATTTTCTCCCGAGCTTTGTCAACTAAAAGCAACAGAGGAGAAAAAAAGACAAGAAACAAACAAAGCGGGAACGTGTGCTCGTGAGTCACCAGATCACAACACAAAGCGAAGGCTGAATAAAATAGAATCAAGCAACTCAAGCCAATTGTGACTGGACGGAGCACGCCAGCATCTAGTTCTGCTACGTCACGACCTGCATGTTCAGAATGAGCGTAGACAAAAAAAAAAGAAAGAAAAAGTTTACTTTAATTTTGCTTGAGCCTAATTCAAATGATGCAACGACAGCATACAGGCAAAAGCACATGTCTGCTGCCTTACTGAACATTTTATTGACGAGATACAGTGTGGCATCAAACGTACTGGCAGAGCCTATCCAATATACTGTATGTGCCGAGACGTCCCTTTATAAGATTTTGCCTTCAATTCTATAATCTTTCAAATATAAAATGTCCTATTTTGCCAATTTGTTGCAAAAAGACTGGGAGAGTAAGCTTTATTCCTAATTAGTGAAGTGGCACTGTTGTAAACCTTCCCTCTGCCCAATGGAAGAAGACTAAACTGTAGCAAATCACATTCATACAAAAAGTTGCTGATTTTAATTTTGGCTTGCCCAACCATGAAAGTTGCGTTGACTAAACTTACCGGTTGCTCTTAAAGTAAAACTCAAGTAGAATCATTTCTACACAGTTCAGAAAGCCACTGTCGTCTCCCTGCATCAGACGGACTTGTTACAGTTCCATCCTGTGGCTGATATATTAACAAAGGTTTACAAGGGCAGAGCACTACATATGTAAGTTTGGCCTTATGGCTGACCTTACAATGCACTTAGTATCCTGTACAGGGAGTAATGCTGCAGCCACTCCTACAAGCCATTTATTCCAGCTAACGACCGTCAAGCACTCATAAATCAGCATTAGGAACCTCTTTCGCCTTCTCTCTCTCGTTTAGTCCCCCTTCTCTGTGGCTCCCTCCACTCCTCCGATATTTTCTGCCCCTTCTTGCATGCATTTTTTTTTTTTTTTTTACAATTTACCTTTTCAAACCTGTCACTCATTCTCATTCAAATTCAATGTTTTTCATTCTTCTTCCTTTTAACTACATCCACACTGGCAAAGTTGATAACACCATTTGAAAAACGCTTAAATAAACGCATATTCCTTGACCAAACAGACGCATATAATTTGTTATCCGAGTTTAATTTAACACTTCTAGTTAAAGCTGAAGTCTTTGTCTTCTTATGGGCAAGGATTGTGTGCTTTGTGCATGACACAAGGGATGGACACACGCTGACTGCAGCCTGCAAACATGGGCGTTGACATCGCTGTTTCCAAAACTCCATCTGTAAACTAAAACTGGGTCATTGCGGATCTGTTTTATGGGTCCTAAAATACCAAAGCAGTGTAGGTCTACAGGTGTAAACATAACAGCATTGATGTAGTGTGCATATGGCCTTATACTGTGTATCTGTCTACCTGTCAGTCCTCCTCATCATCATCTCTTTATTTATTATGTGTGGCCCCTCTACCCCCCTGCCATCCATCCTGTTTCACCCTCTCTTTCTGAAAACCCCTTCTCCTGCAGATAGAGATGGCGTCCCTGAAAGGTCTAACCTGGTATTGGCACCTATATTGATTTTAATTAAGCTAATTAGTTCATTATTCCAAGGATCAAACAGGGGCATCCATTACTGCATAGACAGAGAGAAAGAGAGACTTAGGGCTCTTGGGTGTGGAGGGGTGCTATGGAGTTAATATGGTAATGAAGACAATAAATTATCACTCACAGCAAAGTCATTAACAACAGCATTAGCATAGTCAACCACCGTGACCCTCGTGACCTCCCCTGCTCTGTCTTTCTCACTTTCACTGCCTTGTTCCCTCAGAGCTCCTGCCACAAACGCGAATGCTGAAGCGTGTGTGAGTTGCGTGCATGTGTGCATGTATTTGTTGGGGGAAGTGGAGTTTGGGGGGGTTGATAAAGGTCACAGAGATCATAGACTGTTTTTAATGCTAACCTGAATTAGGTTTCAGCAGTCACTGCTATGTAGGGTTGGACAGGTGTTCTTTGAAACGCTTCTACTGCACCAAGTTCGCAGCATGAATCATATACAAGCTAACCACAGCTTAATCAGTTAGGAAGCACGCTACATCAGTACTTCTATTACAATCTTTTTCTTCAACATATTTTTGACAGATAGTCTTAATGCACCGGTATGTATGTATTTTCAAGTAGACCAGATGTCAGAACTCTAAAGTTGTGGTCATCCTTAATGCAGGGCTGACATGCGCTGTAGCCTGCATACTTACATGTTTCATTTACATGTAACTACAACCCACGAAGAAAACTGGGCCTTGAGAGTCCTGCTATGAAGAAAGCTCCACATGACAAGAAAAATTGTGCTCTCATTAGCAAAAATTAAGTCATGAGACCAATTTTATCATTTGGTTCCCAGGCTTTAAGATTTTAATAGCCCCTGTTCTGTGGTTTATGGGAATGTCATAAATAGTCGCTTTGTGAATCACATACACACACACACACACACACACAAAAAAAAAAAAATTGGAGCCTCATCACAGCTGGAGACATTGCTGGCATTCAGTGAGCAAATTTGTTGTCATCACTTGTTGTAACTGGTTTTGCTCTCTCCTCCGATACAAATAACACAAAGAAAATCCTTTGTCAACCACCGTTTATAAAGATTAACAAGCATGGCCGATGGGAGACTTCCAGTTTAGGCAACCGCAAAAGAAGACTGCAGGGGTTCCAATGCAGGCTATTGAACTGTTTGTCCTATCATGTGGGTGTTTTTTTTATCTATGATTGTAGGAACATTTTGGGGGCGACGGTGTTCAGATTTTGCCATGACGAGCTGAGTGGATCAAATAGAGGCCAGCTGATTCCAATTTACCTCTTCTGATCTGTACTTACTAACAAATACATGTCTCAAATTAAAGACATGTCTGTCACTGCAGATGTTTTCCTAGTACAGTTTAACTTGTTTCTATTTCTTCTTTATCTAAAATCCTGGGTTGTCCTATAACCCCTTCAGTTAAAGCAGGTGTTCAAGTACAGTACAAGTTTGTATTGCATGCAAGGGACATGTCCATCTGTCTGTAGATGGCACAGACCAAAGGCTAATTGTAACAGTCTAGAACTCAGAATACAATCCTTGAATTTTATGATATTATGGCCACAAAACAAACTCTGTTTAGTGTCCATTAGAGTTCAGCCCTATTGTGTATCAACAAGACCATACACTACGATTCAATCAGACGTTAGCCAAGCTCCTATTACAGAGCTCATTGCATCGTTTACATTGTGGAACGGTCCATAAGTAGCTCTAAATGCTCTTCATTTGATTGGATTTCGCATTATGGACATCAGAGCAGAAACACACTGACTATCCTGTCCCCTGACTATCCTAATAGACTGTTGAGTGAGACGCTCCATTTGTTTGTATTTGTTTACTGATGTAGACCCTGAAAACATACAAAGTAGCATAAACAGACAGTGAGAGCATCGTGTAAGACGGGTGAAAATGGAGATTCAAAGGCTCAGAAGATGGGTCGATAGCGGCAACAAACTATTATGTTCCCTCACAGCGTGTCTCTTTGGCTGCCAAACGAAGCTGCTGTTGTCACAAACAATAGCAAAACTACGACTGGATGGACTGAAGGACTCTCAGCAACTAAGTGAATGTCACTTTAATAAATTTTACAAATTGTTCTTCACCTTTTCCCTTTAAGCTGTATGTTTTTAATCAGCTTGAGAAATGGAAAAATAAATTAGTAAAGTTCCTAAAATTCCATTACTGATAATAAATCTGAAAATTAACAAATGTCTTTGCTTTTCAAACTATCCTGTAGGCATGTATTGTGCTATAATATGCAAGAAAGACATATATTGTAGAACTTATTCAATAAAGGAATCTGAGAAAGTGCTATGGAAGAAAAACGGCAGAGATGCCGGTATTTGTGTTGCTTAAGCAATGTCAGTGAAGAGAATTAAGTTTTAAAATGATGAAAGTTAAAATTGGGCAGCTTTGAATGCTCAAAAATGCAAAGCATTATGTTAGCGTGACCTTTGTAGTAACGGTGTAGAGAGCACACAAAGCTAGCCCTCTGACCTTCTACATAATGGCAGATAAGTACTTTGATGTATAATAAGCCATAATTACTTTTCTGTGTGTAAAATCCACTCAGAGGAGAGAATATTGATAGAAGCCTGGCCGTAACTAAAATGGAACAATGACTTAAGGTCACTACATCAAGTGGTGGTGATGTTGTTAGTTCCTCCTATAATAAAGTTTTCCTTTTTTAGGCAGTTTTTCCAAAGACCCAAAAGCAATAGTTCATTATCTGTCTCAAGGATAGATTCTAATACACATTAAGGAAGAAAAGAACACTGTAAAATCGCTAAAATTACAGAAGATATATATTAAAAACAAAGACAAGAGGCCTTTTCATGTGCAGAGGAATTTTTGGCAACCTGAGGAGGTTTAAGTCAGCCACAAAAAGAGCCCTCCAACCCTTGATCATGTAATAAAATTATTTTCTGAGAGGGTTTTGGTCTTTTTTAGTCAGGCATAATAGCATTTTTGTTGATCGAATGAACAGAAATAAGAGAAAAATGCATCGATTTTTGTCAAATAAGGTAACAAGGTAACTTTGCCTTCAGAGTACGCAGATCAGTCATGCTTACTGCCATGGCTAGTCACCTCTTGTAAGCCCATTCTGAGCCAGGAAAAAAAAAGCACTGGGCGCAGTTACATCTGTGTCAAGATGAAGCCATTTATAAAATCTTACAGCCAAAACACGATCATGGTTCTGTCCAGCTCCCCTTTGCAAATCCTCAATGGTCTGAACAAGCACCTGGATGTGGTCTGTGAGGTCATTCACGTAAGACTGCAGGAAGTCCACTTTCTTCTGTAAGAGCAACAGTACAACAGGATAAGATAGTGGTTAATTATTGTGGTTTAATAAGCTGAGAGTTTATATGTTTAATTAGTTGCTGAGTACAGATTATGGTCATTGTTAGGCCCCGGTCATACAGGCCTAGAGACTCTCTGGGACAATGTGAATACTGTAACAGATTAGTGAGTGGCTGGCCTGAGTTGGTGGCCATAAACAGGGCAGAGTAAGATTATTATTAAAATATCCAATAATAAAAAGTTCATTAAAAGTCAAAATGATGAATCCCAATATGGGAGTGTGCACAAACACTAACCACAGTGCAGTTAAGCAACATATATCCCCTCAATCCAGCATGTCACTTATAAATGTAGTACTCCTTCTTGGTGTTAAAACAGGGACTATATCCCCAGTGACACCTCACAGGAAAGGCAAGAGATCCAGGCAAACACAAAATAATAATGTGTTTCTTATTTAGTTGCATCTTACCCGTCTTTAGAGCAGATGAAGAATCTGATTTAGCATCGAAACACATTAAATGATGATCAATTGTATGGCCGGGCAGGTTGGAGGTCTCTGTAACTTTCTGACAAACTGAAACAAATACATCTAAAGACAACAAGTGCAAAACATGTTGGTGGTGAGATGTCCACAGGCTCTCATTCTATCCCAACAAGTACCCGAGACATATAAAACAGTCGAAGAACGAGCCAAAATACAACAGTTTATAAAAGAGAATAAGAAACAGAGAGATCGTCAAAAGCCACCAGTGACTATTTTGATTCTACTTACATTAAGTCAGTAAGCCTTATTGTTATTATGGCACTGTTTGAGTATCTAAATCCTTGACATATTTTATTCACTGAACTGGTTGTGACATTTAAAACTTTTTTTTTCTTTTTCATTTTCCAAAACCTTTATATAATGCTGAATATGCCAGACAAAGAGGCCAGATCATTGTGGCTTTCACACAGAAGCCCACCTAAGATTCACAATAGATGACCTCTGCCCTCTATCATAGGAAAAGGAATACTTAGTGATCATGCACTCAAAGTGTAGGGAAGACTCAAGAAGGCATTTCAATGTTCAGATTTTATTACTTACAAAAACTGATAACCTAACCGTATTCTTTATTTTCTTATTCCAGGTTAAAAAACAAAAAAAGAAGCCTGTGCCACTTAGCTTAAGGAGCTTTTGCAGTTTTCCAGATACCCTACACATACAATGATTGTCCCTCTGATAAAAGGAAGTGCCACAAACCTAAGAAGTATATTGCCTTAGAGGACCACCTGTACATCTGTGCTAAAAAACATCTGTCCCCTACAGCCAAAAGTAAATAAGCAGTTTATACTGTCCCCTGATGCATAACATTATACTGATGTTTAGCTTCAGGGAAAGTAACTTTACAAAGATGGCAAATGTGACAGTACGGTAACATTCTAGGGTTGACATTGTTTGTTTGTTGTTGTTGTTGTTGTTTCTTACTTACTTTTCACTTTTGGAAAAGCTAGCTGTGATAAGTGCCCTAAAGCATAAGAAAAAAAATGAATTCTTGAACTGGCAGGTTGCTCAAACATTTCAACATTTTAAGAAACATCATAAACCTACAATGGGTTCATGCAATAATGGATGTTGTATTTTCAGCGGACACGCTTTATGATTAAGTGTCCCCATCAACCTTTAGGACTTGGGAGCTCCTGGGTTCTGAACATCATAACCTTGTTAAGCTGGCCCTCGACTGGGGCCGGCTGACCATAACCTATTCTGAAACCTTGTTATTTTTGCTTTGATGCACAGTCCAGCTCACACGAGCTACATTCTGTTGCTAAAAGATGTTACATGACGATCCCGATGATTAGAAACCTCTCTTTTTTAAATATGAGTGTGGCTCTGTGTTCCTGATCTCTGCCGCTCAGATGGAAACATAATGCAATTTGCCACCTGTTACAAGTGCTGCGGCTTTATGAAAGCACCGCTGCGCTTCCTCCTGTCATTTGTCTGACAAGACAGAGGTCATCTTCTGATGTTAGAGTCAAGGTGGACAGGATGCTGTATGATTTGTAATGGATGGATTATAGCCTAATGACAATAGATGTTAGCCTAAATCTAAACATGCTGTAGAGACTGTGTCTGCTAACCCGTACTTTATGCAATTGTCTGGACCCATAAAAACAATCTTTCACAATCCAGGGTCCAGACTACTGGAAGGGCGTGTGCAGAATCGTCATTAAGACGACTAGCATTTGTTTCCAATGTTAATAGGAAAAAACACGATACTATTAAGGAGCTCTTTATTTTAAATAAATGGGTTGGATTCCTGTGTTTCAACGTAGCTGTATAAAGTGCGAACAGAAAGTCTGGATTTATTATTTCCCTCAAGAAATCTGATGCTACACTTCTTAACTTTGTCCTGAAGTTAAACCGGATGTTACGCCAGGACTAACAATAATGGCAGCGGTGGGATTCGAACCCACGCCTCCAGAGAGACTGGAGCCTAAATCCAGCGCCTTAGACCGCTCGGCCACGCTACCCACACCGTGCATTTCACATGTGGCACAACAACTACTCACCTGTGGTAGTTCTCCCCTTCTACTGGTGTCCTCCTCCAAGCATCTTAACTTCAGCTCGCGAAGCCCTCTGAACTCGTTTAGTAGTTCTTTAATAATGTTTAGCTCTGTTTCGGGACTCTGATTGGCTACTATGAGCTCTTTTTCACCTGAGCAAGAAGACAGGTGAGAAGCGTGACTAAGCGTTTCCGACAATGTTGAGCTTTTCCTTGGCTGTGTGCAAGCTGCACGCATTGCTCCAAGTTCCTGCCACCTGTTTCCTAAGTCAACTGCATAAAGGCTTGCAAAAAGCTAGCTAAAAACAGTCATAATCTCGGTTTGGTAAAATCTTATAGTTTAGGCAAGTACACTGTAACCTGGAAAAAAACAAATCAAATCAAGATCCCGGCACTTTGAATGAACTTGACATTTAAGACTGAGTAAATAATTGCCGTTGCTTTTCTTAACAAGTTGGTCGCTATGTATCGTTGCTACAACTGAGGAGTTTGAATTATTTTTCCCCAGACGGTATGCAGGTTTTAACCAGTGCTTTGGCGCTACGCTGTGCGATTGGCTCATTTTGATCACGGGTTTCCTAAACGTGACGTACACACCCGCTACTGGTGAGTTTTCTTTAGGAGGCGGGATAACGATGTACAACCCGGAAATACAAGTGCTGTTGACATTTCAGGGAAGACTGGGTTACATTGAGTTCGACCCCGAAAAGCGATGGGTAAATATATGAATATATGACTTCATTACCCTGCTGAAAAAACATAAGCCTGCATTATTTTCTTCTATGCCCACATGAAGCTCAATAGCGGCATGTCTGCTTTTTTCCCCGAGCTGTTAAGGCTCGTCGTCACATGTTATCAGCTCCTCGCTGCTGTACCAGTATTTTGTCTCTGTGTTAGCCGCTTGCTTGTCCCCCCTCTTTTCCTGCACGCTTTCATTTAAAATCGTATCGATTGTTGATGGCTGTTGATGAGTATAGTGACCACTGCATAGTGTTCAATCAGCCAGCCGTTTTTGAATTAGTATTCATCGGGAGTCTGGTTCAGGTGTGTATACCAGCTGAAACTTTGGATGGTAACCTTGTGACTGTGTGCACCTTCAAGAGTATGTTGTGCAACTCCGCACATAATTCCATTATTCCCCTAAATAATCAGTGCCAGAGATCAAAACCTTCCACATTGAGATTCAAGGCAAAGTTGATCTTATTGATTTTCAGGAGACTACTCACTTCATTTCTCTCATCCCAATCATCACTGCTCTACTCTTATCTGTCTCTTGGTTATATCTCTCTTTTCCAGTGGCTTTGACTGTATGGCTCTCACACTCTCTGCCAAAACCTAATCCCTCCTGTGATTATCACATAATGCTCTTGCCTTATTATCAAAATGGAGCAGATTTGGGTTTTGTTGTTGTTGTTAAAGACTGATGGGCTCAAGCTTAAAAAAATGTTTAAAAAAATTAAGCAGACAACGCTATTATGAGGAGAATGTGGACCGGCTGATTGCATGAGATTGTGGTGTGATGTGGTGTGTGTGCCTCTGGAGCCAAACACTTACTTTGATGAGTGTGTTTTTTAAGGCAGTCACGCAAGTTAAACTAGGCTGTGATCTCACTCTGGGGTCATAAGGTTATTTTATACAGTTTCCAGATGAAGGCAAGTCTTAAAGGCACTATAGTTATCAGCACATATTTGGAGGGGGGAAAAAATCAATCCAACATTAATTTATTCCACAGTCTAAAAGCTACAATGTATAGTGTCAATCCTTTTAATGAATTTTGGAAAAAGAATGTTCATATTTGCAATTTAAAGTAATAAAAGATTAGCACTACTGTTCAATCTAAATTTTACAAGGTCAAATAGACTAAAAGGAACTGGAAGGCACAAAGATTTGCATTTTTTACATATGTGTTGCTGGAGCTCCAGCATGCTAATCTAACTATAATATAGTCTATATTTCATGTTTAGTTGTCTGATAATAATATATAATGTGTAAATTACTAGAAGGTATTTTGGGTTACTTTTGAAGGAAATCAACCAATCACACTTTGAATTAGACATGCCGAATGAACTCTTACATGTAGCCCCAGCACCATGAGTTTGATTGACAAACACATCCTGCAGTAGCCCTCGCATTCCTGTAGATTTTATTGGCTTGTCCTCAGTTAACCATCACATTTTTTTTCCTTTTTGTTTTTTTAAAAAGCTAAAATGTTTACTCTTTTATTGTTTGTGTTTTTTCATGCGTAAAGAGAGGTCAAGAAATGTGCAGATCAAATATTCCTGAGGATAACACTTTTTATTTGCATGAGTTGCTCTCTCATTGACTCCTCTGAAAGACACAACTTTGGTTCTCTCATTTATTAGCCATTCTGCTTCTTTTTTTTTCGCATTCATTGTGCCTCTCTCTGTGCTCTAAATGTTTCATGACTTTTTAAGTTGTTTTTCTGCAAACCGTTGAACTTATTACTCATACAGCCTTAGCATACTCAACCTTGTACTCATGAAATCAATTAATTCTCTTAAATAATTCACCTTCTGAGCAAACCAGATTAAGCGGAGCACATTTTTTGTGTGTCAGATGTGGTGTTCTAACTGATGTGTAATTTTTTTTTTTTTCCCCTCTCCTTTTTTTTTTGTATTCAGGCATTAACTTGGCTCCTACCCCAATGGCTTGGAGTTTTGGGTGATTAGAGAAAGAGGAGAGCCTTGATAAAGCATTAGTGTGTGACGCACACACAGCCCTAAGACCCCTCTGTGCATCTGCACACATTCATTTTTCATGAAACAGACTCATAACAATTAGTCTGGTTACCGCCTGGGTAATCTTAGTGTCCCCATAATGCCTGTGGTCTGCCGTATGACATCACTCTCTTAAAAGTTCTAAATCTGACATTCTCATCCGTTTTCATAGTGAGGACATTAGCAAGCCTCGGCTAATAGGCCCCGCACTTGTTTCTGGCGAAAGAAGGGCAATAAAGCGAGGGAGCGGGAACGAGAAGGGGGGGGGACTGACTGACTGGAGCGCTCAGAGAAATAGGTTTTATCCACCAGAGCTTTTACACAAATTAATTTACATGAGCGAGAGAATAAAATGTAAAGTTGTAATCCAGCATGCTTTGCCAATGCATAGCCTATTTCTCGCTACAAGCATCATAGAAAGCCAAGTGAACATTTATGCATTATTTCAGCAAATACATTATACTAACAACCACAGCTAAGTGGTTAGGAATCTCAGCGCTACACCACACGAGGGGCTACATCCAGACTTCTAGCTGTGCATTTTCCAACCGGTGTGCAATGAGCACAGAAAAAGCAAAGTGCAATCCCCAAGAGACGTTCACCTTCCCAGCATCCCCCCCCCACAGCCTTTGGTCCCCTTGTCCTAAACAGTCTCACACCTCCCTAGACACCAAAGCCAAGGTCAAGAAGAAAGTGAGGCCTTCCTCTGTCTATAGGGTATTCCCTGGATGCCCACACCTCAGTAGGGCTGAACCACGTATGCTTCAGAAATGTTCCCTCCTCCATGATTGTGTCTGTCTCAAGGTCAGCTCCTAGGGAGAGGTTTGAGCTTATCTGCCCACCTACCCATGCTTTATTTTCGCTCTTTGGCTATCGTTTCCCCAAGTTTTTTTTTCTTTCACTATATCAGTAGACATTAGCTCACAGTTCCCAGTTGGCGGTTTCATGACGCTTTGTCTGACGTATCCATCTTTGTCTGTGTCTTTGCCTATCCGTCTTTTTTTTTCGTTGGGTAGCTGTCATTACAGCCCATTGTCTAGTTTTCAGAGGACCCAGTGCAGCTGCAAGGCTTCAGACTGATGCGCTGTATGCTTTTGTTGCCTCATCTCTCCTTCCTCACACTGGTCATGGCCCCTTTTGCCTTGAAGCAGTGTTGCACTGTGTTCCGTGTTAGATTGGATATTGTTGTTGTTGTTGTTGTGGTTGTCTGTAAGCTATGGCAGTCAGCCTTGAGTCAGTGCGCTATCTTTGTCTGAACAAGATGCACAAGCTATGGAAACAAGGGGAAGGGAAAAAATAAAATAAACGCTCATATGACCTGAATCAAAATACCCTTTAACATACCCCGGAAAATGTTTTGAAAACATTTTTCACTGCTCTGATAGAACAGCAAGACCTCAGAAATATCAGGTGATTTTTTTAAATTAAATTTTTATTTTTTCTGTTGTTTTTTTTCAACGACCTCTTCTAACTTGCCTTCTGACTCTCGTGGTTGTCAGTTATCAACTCTCCAAAAGAGGGCATTTAGTCTCATAGTTAGTTGGATGGCTGACCCACAAGAGAATTATAAAGTCAATATATCATGTGTGTGTGGGTGTGTGTGTGTGTGAATACATCATGGAATGAGTCTCTTTGCTCATATCCTTGTATATTTTTTCCTTGTGCGTGCAAATGCTGCGCTGTCTGTCCTCTCACCCACACCGTGTCATTACTCTGTAAACACTGGCATTGACTGTGACTTTTGACTATTACATAAGGAACATGGATTTCCAGCTGTCCGCGGTAAAAGCCCTGTAAATTCAAATGCTTAATTTTTATAGGCAGCCCGGCATTGACTGAAGTGTCTGCTTGTTATATATTTGGCAAGTGCTGCAAGTCTGAAGGGAAGCTGTCAATAGCAATCCCAGCTATTGATATGGCAGTGGGCAGGAGATGTTACTTGGCCCCCAACTCCAGCATCCCTCTGATCCCTCTACATCATAATTACATTAATATTGACAGACCCTTGACAATAGTCACATTACTATTGATAGGTGGTTGTCAATACTGTGTTTCCCCAAATAAAACATATTCATTCATAACTTGTAAACTGCTCGATAAAAGGCTTTGAAAAGACTATTGGACCCGGCCGGGTTTACTCTCCCGAGAGAGCTGCTGCTGTGACAGGGATTTCCACCACCTGGCGGTATATTTGCGTGCGTGTGTGTGTGTGTATGTGTAACAGTGGGCTGATAGATTACGTTTGCGCTGCATTAGAGCTCTGCATAGATCAAGGCTATGCTTGACATACATACATAGTCTCTCACACACACATGAGGACACATAATCTGCTCATTTTCTCCCATCAAGGGAAAAAACTTTCAGATTAGGCTAAACAAATAGTGCCTGTTTACTGGTTAGCAAACACACTCAGACTACGTCTCTTGCTCTTTCCCTTTTCTTCTTCTTCTTTTTTTAATCCAAACTCTATTCCCGTCACAGGCGAGGTTCTAGTCACCAAACATGGCAGCATTTCAAATACAGCTCAATGAATTTGTCATACCTGCTTACTTTAGCGTGAATTCACTCCTTTCATTCATTTGCTAATTCTAACTTAGTTGGACCGTGTATCCTAGCCCTATTGAAACATCTTGAATACACAGATGGTTGTGTGCACCACCACAATAAACCCAAGCTTTGCCTGCGCACGTTAGAATTTTATTTTTTTCACCTCCTCAAAACGTCTAAAGTGACCATCATCTCTCTCCTTCTGTCAAAACTGCCATATTTACCCGGCTGAAATCTCTTTTAAAGCCTCGTGACAAATCCTGTTCGGCGAGACACAAAAGTCACTGTCAAAAAAAGGCCTCTCTGTCTCTCTCTCCCTCTCTCTCTGTGGCCTTCTTGCTCTGTCTCTCCCTGCATTAGTTAGTCTTTCACTTCTTTAAGTATTTCATTTGAGGAAATGGCAGATAAAACTGGAGAACTGTGAGCGGTTTGGAAACGTATGCAGCACTAAATAGCCCTGATGTCACAATGGCGAGATCCCATATGGAGTCGAATCGAGGGGGGAGAAAATTGTTCCACATTTGGCAGATGTTTACGGTGTACCAGAGACTGTGCCGTTAGCCTAATCCCTAGTGATGTGATTTGTACACACACCCCTATCTCTAGAGGGAGCGGGCACCAGGAGCCCCTGGGCTTCTGCTCCTGTGTGTGTGTGTGTGCAGGGGGGATTGTGTGTTTATATGCAGGGGAAAGCAGTCTAAGACCCCCTGCTCCTCTGCATGGCGAGGCTCTAAGGTTGCATTAAGGACGGGTTTTACATGTGAAAAGTGATTTCCCTTCCTGTGTATAAAGACAAAATGACCTTCCTAACAGGATGGGCTTCACCTCCGGAGCCTCAGCCCTCCCAATGACCGAGTTGTCCTTTTAATGGTTGAGCCTTGGTGTATATTATGTTCATGATTTGAATACATTAAATATGCTATTGTTTATACATTAATAACGTATTAACTGGTGTAAAGGCTTTAAACATTTATCAGTGTTGGGGGGAAATGGCCTTAATAAACGACTGTTTTTTGTGGGGTTTTTGGCTTTTTATCTGATTTCGGCCTGTATTACATTCAGTCCTTTTTTTATTCTTCCATTTCTGTTTTTAAAGCATGTCTAACCATTTGCGTGTGGCTGTCCTTGTTCACTCCAGGAAAATGTCATTTTCACAAAGTTTGCTTTGTCAGAGTAATATTTGGTGAATCATAGTATCATAATATCTAAGACGGATGGGCCAACATGAACAGAAACTACATTCAGGCTGCAACAAGAGCCCAGTCACTTTGTCTTTTTTTCTACTGATTAAAATATTGAAAAGAACATGTTGATATGTCCTTACTGTTTTCTGTTTTTTGGGTGTTTGTGTTTTTTCAGCAGGGTTGGGAAGTGAGAATGACCAGAAAAAGACTGCTAGAAGTCACGGCCCGCACTTTGATATGAACCCACAGACCCCGGTACTGCGTATCAGTCAGCTGGATGCCCTCGAGCTAGACTCAGCCCTTGAGCAGCTAGTGTGGACTCAGTTCTCGCTGTGCTTCCAAAACTGCCGCCCAGGCTTCCTCACTCCTCTGGAGCCTGAACTGAGGGTTTTGCTTCATTTGCTCCTATGGAGGTTCACACTCTATTCTAACAGTGCCACGGTGGGGCAATCTTTACTGAGCCTGCGCTACCACAGCAAATTTTCCCTGTCTCCCCGTTACAGGCCTTTATCCCCCAGGCAGAAGTTAGGTCTGGCCGTGCTCACTGCAGGGCCCCTCTGGCTCCAAGAGCGTTCCCACAGGCTGCTGCCGTACTTGGGTTTGAGTTCACAAGGATCTGTGTCTGAAAGAGAGAGCGGTTTGCTCCATCGGGGTCTCCGTAATGCGCTGACGCTTGTTGCTGGTATTGTTAAGTTCACAAATCTGATCAACTTCCTTGTGTTCCTAAGGAATGGCCGGCATCCCATCCTCGCTGAAAGAATCACAGGAGCTCAGACGGTTTTCAGTAAGCCAAATGTGGCCCGGGAGGTAAACTACAAGTACATGAACCGAGAACTACTTTGGCATGGCTTTGCAGAGTTCCTCATCTTCCTGTTCCCACTGATCAATACAAAGAAACTGAAGGCAACAATACTGTCTGCTGTGTTTGGGGGGGAAAGTGCAAGCGGGGAGGGAGCAAGGGAAGGGCAAGAGTTGTGGAAAGAGTGTGGACTGTGCGGAGAGTGGCCAACCATGCCTCATACGGTGGGATGCCAGCACGTTTTCTGCTACTACTGCATTAAAAGCCACAGCATTGCCGACCCTTATCTCACTTGTCCCAAGTGCGGGGCAGAAGCAGGGCAGCCCAAGCTGGTCAAGCTGGAGGTGGAGATGACTGACAGGTGATAATCATCTCACACACAGAAGAAATGAAATGAAGTTGCTATGAAATTTCAGCTGGCTTTTGTTTGGTTTTGTTTTTAAAGGTTTTGTCATGTACAAGTTTATAATTAGACTTATCTCCATGATGTCTTTTCTGAACACGCATCAGCCTGCGATGTTTAATGTATATGTGCACATATTGACAGTCTGCTGCCCCTTCTGTTTTTCTAACTGGACTTTGGAAGGAACTATTTGTCTTTGGTGCACTGGACAGACTGCAGAGAACGACACAGAGCATATATTTGATGAGTGAACGTGTTGATTTATGCTCCAAATTGGCTCTGTGCTGACGTGTGTGTATGTATGAGTGTGTGTGTGTTTGTTGAAATGGGAATATTTGTTCTGATGAAAAATGCAAAAAGTCAGCTGAATAAATAATGGGAGGAATTTCTGATGCCTCTCATCATGGCCAAATTAGCATTTGTTGTGTATTTTGTGCCTAAATTGTATTTCAACATCATTAAAATTGATAGAGTGCTACCTCTTGGGTGTTTATTTAGTTAAGTGGAGGAGAGAGAGATGAGGGAAAGTTATAACAATCAGCACACTTCTCTCTAGACAGGCCGGTCGTTCTAACTCCCATTATCCGTTTTCACAGCACCCCAACATGCTCAAGATCAAGGGGGCAGCCGGGGGCTTGGATTGACTCACGCACACACACTTGACAGCCAGCCTCTCTTTTCCCTTGGCCTTTCTCTCTTTTGCTGCATTTCCATCTCTCTCTTTCTGTAATCTCCAGGGCCCTCGCCCCTATAAGACTGTAGTAAACTGTACCAAAACCCTGGCAGTCGTCTCCTTCCTCGCAGGCGAATTACTCTCTAATCCCTGTAATGAGTCCAAAGATGCTTATTTATGCTGGAGTTAACCTCTACCAGTGAGCCCAGCCCCAGGCCAAACTCACCCCAGCTGAGTGAAGCCTTTCCTGGGCTGACAAGACAGGAGCGGGGTGGGGAGGCTACCTCCTAACTCTCCTTCCCACCCCCTCCTCCCTTCCCAGGCTCTGATCACTAGTACTTAATTGCTGATTGCTGAGACGATCAATCGGAACTGCAGGCGTGATAGAAAGCCTATTGCCAAGGAGCTCGTCTCAAATCTACCAGCTCAGAAAGACATTTGCACTCAGATGAGGTTAATGTTTCCCTTGGACAGAGAGGGTAAACTTAAATATCTGTCCTTGTGTGGTATATGAATTCCCTGAAGAATACTAGCTGGTTGCACTGGAAGGGCTCATTTTAAATTATTTATTACTGACCAATGTGATTTTGATTTCTCCCAGTGTTTCAGCAGGCCTTTAGAGTATATGTCCTTGGTGGTAATGCAAGGCCAAAATTAATTATTTTTGTATGTGTTTGTGTTTGTGTGGTTTGGTTTGGTTTGGGGTTTTTTAGAGCACCTACAGAAATACTGAGGTAGCCCTTCACCAGAATAA